TCCAGTTGCGTTTCCCTTAGCTGCTATTGCAAGAGCTGTTCGGGAGGGGATTGGAGCAGTGCACCGGCCCTCAGCTGGTTCCTATTAGCGTTCCTGTTCGCTTTCCTCCGTGCACTGGACCGGTGCCCGGTTCACACCACCTCGTTGCACGGTGTCAGTGCACAGCTGCTTGCAGGGGCTGTACCAGGCAGCGCCGGTGACACGGAAAAAAATCTCCCCGCGCTCAGGGCAGGGTATGGAAGATGGGGAGGAAGGATCCGGGTGCTTGGTCTCCCCTGCCTGCCTTTTGCTTGCTGGGGTCTTCAGCCCCCCGTGCTCCAGGTTGTGCCCGCTTTCCAGGGCTCCTGCTCCTCATCCTTTAAGCTCTGGCCCTGGGCAGAAGCATCTCGGTACGGAGAAGGCACGGGCGGTATCGGTGAGTCAGCCAGCCACGCTATCAGGGAAGCACGTGCTCCTCCATCCCTCATCTGGCCATAAGAGCAGCGGTGACGTGGAGCCAGACCCTTACAAGGACTCCAGCATGGCTGGACTTCTTTAGCCTGACTTTGGCAACAAGGTGCCCTGCTGCGGTCCAGCCCTGGGCTGCCAGCAGCTTCTCGGGCTGGGGAGCAGCTCTGGGGGTGCCTGCACGGGGAGGCAGCCATCACCGCGGTGCTTCGGGGATGCCGAGGGGTCTCACGGCAGGCGCAGCACCGAGGTGTCAGATGGAGCTGCTTCGCTTCAGCATCTTTGCGCAGGGCTTGGGTCTTGCTTCGCATTTAATTGCCACAGGGCTCCTGGTGTGGACTCACACGCGTTTTCCCCTCCTCCCTGCTGTCACACAAACGCAGCTGGGAAGGATTTGGGCTGGTAGCAGCGCTGCAGCCCCACTGGTAGCTGGCTGCCCTTTGGATCCACAAGGAATAGCACCGGGCATCTTCCAAGCAGCTGCGCTGGGGAGCTGGAGGAGCTGCCGCCTCCAAGCCAGGCGAGCCCCTGCCTGCGTCTGTGCAGGTTGCTGACGAACCACATGTGAGTCTCCAAAGTTAGCGGCCTGGAATTCCGAGGGGATAAGGCTCAGTAATCCCGTTAAACCTGCTGAAAAGGGCTGCTCGGGCTGTGGAGCAGCAAAACAAAGCAGCGCAAGGACTTGCAGGCGAGGCAGTGCTGAGCATCTCGACGTGGAGCTGTTCACCTGCGGCCAACGATGGAGAGCACCGGCCCCAGGGTGCAACATCTTCTGTGGGGATGGGCCACGACACCTTTTGCTTGCTGAATTTCTGGCCTCTGAGGCCTGGCAGGGCAAGGAGAGGAGAGAGCTGAGCGTGGCACCGTGGTGGAAACAGATTATCTGGCCTGGGAAAAGCAGCTCAGTTGCTTGAGAAGGTTCAGCCCGCCCCAGCGCAGCCAAGGGGATGTGGTGGCCGGCTCACCGCCCGCCGTGCTCACCCCGAATCCAACACCAGCCAGCTGTGTAACGAGGGGTGTTAGCGCCGTCTGACTTCGGGTGTCTCATTCCAGCACTCCGAGTTTCCCTCAGGAGGCTGCATGAGGAGCCCTATATATAGGCACCCTATATAGGAGCGAGAGTTGCTGAGTGGGATGTCTAAAATTAGCTGTCCCACCCCCGAGCACCGCTGCTGCCGTCGCACGCGCCCTCGCCCCGCTCCTGCTCTGCCAGCATCACACCTGCTCCGGCTCCCCGAAACCAAAGGGGATAAAGAAATCGCCCTCGGAGCCGAGCGGGAGCACCCCTGCACGTGCGCGGGCAGGCGGCCAAGCCGGGGCGACGGGAGAACAAAACTCTCTTTCCATCTGTGAGGAGCCATCAGAGCAATGACACGAGACGTCCCCAGCAGAGACGTCCCTGCCTATCAGCGACCCGGCCCCACAGGGAGGGTCGGGAGGAGGAGATGGGGTGGTGGTGTTTGCTCCGTTCCGTGTTGTTTGCTGGGTTGGTTTGGTTTTCTTTTTTTTTTTTTTTTTTTCATTTTGTGCCAAAAGATTTGCACTGGTTTTTTTTTTTTTTTTGGGAGCGATTCCCAGGGCCACTGGGGTGCCAAGGGGGCTGGCGGCACATCTGGCCTGAGCCGATCCTGAGCTCCCAGGTGAAAACCAGCAGGATTTGCACCCAAATCGCCAGCTTGGTGCAGCTGAAGCCTCGTGCATGTGGCCCCGTGCAGAGCCCCCGTTCACGCCTGAGCCTCAAGGCCTTGCAAACTCGTGCCACCTACCACGGGAGCTTTCCTGGCTGCTGTGGGCACTGCTGCTTCGTGCTTTCTTTTTGCCTGTTGCCTGTTACTGCTTTGCCACATTGCTTTCTCCCTGGGGTCTGCTGGTGGGAAGGGGTTTCCCCCGTGCCGGGCTGGCATGGCAGGGATGTACAAGCATCGGCTCTGCCACCCTTCTCCCCATCCAGCTCTTCACCGATGGCATCACCAACAAGCTCGTAGCCTGCTACACAGACGAGGGCATGGCGGACGCGGTGCTGGTCCGTGTCTATGGCAGGAAAACGGAGCTGTTTGTGGACCGGGAGACGGAGCTGAGGAACTTCCAGGTGCTGCGTGCCCACGGCTGCGCCCCCGACCTCTACTGCGCCTTCCAGAATGGGCTCTGCTACCAGTTCCTGCCGGGCATTGCACTGGGGCCCGACCACGTGCGGGACCCCCACATCTTCAGGTGTGCAGGTCTGGGGAGGAAATGTGGGATGGGGAAACCAGCAAGGGGTTTGCTCCGTGTTTCCAGCTCTCCCCCTCACTGCCTTTGCTCCAGACCAGTGCTCGAGCATCGCTGATGTGCACAGACCTGGGTGCTGCTGGGGGATAAAATTGTGACAGGACAAGGGTTTTAATGGTTTTAAACTAAACCAGGGGAGGTTTAGACTGGATCTAAGGAAGAAATTCTTTACAGTGAGGGTGGTGAAACTCTGGCAGGGGTTGCCCGGAGAGGGGGTGGAGGCCCCATCCCTGGGAACATTCCAGGCCAGGTTGGACGGGGCTGTGAGCAACCTGATGTGGTTCAAGGTGTCCCTGCTCCTGCAGGGGGGTTGGGCTGGGTGACCTCTGGGGGTCCCTTCCCACTGCGCCTTCCAGAATGGGCTCTGCTACCAGTTCCTGCCGGGCATTGCACTGGGGCCCGACCACGTGCGGGACCCCCACATCTTCAGGTGTGCAGGTCTGGGGAGGAAATGTGGGATGGGGAAACCAGCAAGGGGTTTGCTCCGTGTTTCCAGCTCTCCCCCTCACTGCCTTTGCTCCAGACCAGTGCTCGAGCATCGCTGATGTGCACAGACCTGGGTGCTGCTGGGGGATAAAATTGTGACAGGACAAGGGTTTTAATGGTTTTAAACTAAACCAGGGGAGGTTTAGACTGGATCTAAGGAAGAAATTCTTTACAGTGAGGGTGGTGAAACTCTGGCAGGGGTTGCCCGGAGAGGGGGTGGAGGCCCCATCCCTGGGAACATTCCAGGCCAGGTTGGACGGGGCTGTGAGCAACCTGATGTGGTTCAAGGTGTCCCTGCTCCTGCAGGGGGGTTGGGCTGGGTGACCTCTGGGGGTCCCTTCCCACCCAAACCATTCAATGACTCTATGAAATGGGCTGAACTGCAACTGGGTTGAACACCGTGGTTTTAACACATCAGCTTTTGGTGAATAGCAACTGCAGGAGAACCGTGGCTTTTATCTGAACTTGCCCTGCAATGGTGGATGCTGCTTTAGACCCAGACAGGGTCTTGAGATGCCTCAGAGGCTCGCAGCTGAAGTCGGGGCGGGGGCGGGTTCAGCTGTGCTGACCCTGTGTTTTTAAACATGGCTTTCGGGGAACCCCCCTCGAGACGTCTCAAGGCTGGGTTTGAGGGTGTTCCTCGGGGGGATGCTGCTGCCACGCACCCACCTCTCGCCTGCACATCTGTGTTTCCTTCCAGGCTGGTGGCCCAGGAGATGGCCCGGGTACACGCCATCCATGCCAACGGGAGCCTCCCCAAGCCCATCCTCTGGCAGAAGCTGCACAAATACCTCACCCTCGTGAAGACGGATCTCAGCCCAAAGGTATCCAACCCCAGGTAAAGGCAGAGGGATCCCAAAGAGCCAGGCTCTGGCTTGGGCATCCGCTGCCCACCCATCTCCTAAGTCTTCCCTGTATGGGACTGGGGGGAAGAGCCCTGGTTCCCAGGTAAAGCCTCTGCAGGAGTCCAGGGCTGGTGCATGGGGCTGGGGATGGTGTTGGGGCTGGATCTGGCCATGCAGCCATTTCTGGATCATGATCCCTCTGCAAGCAAACTGGTGGCCAAGCCCCCAAGAGGGATGGAGGCATCTCCATGCACCCTTCGGTGCCTTTCTTCCTCCCAGTCTGGGAGCAGAGACAGCTCTGGGTTGTGATTGTACAGCACCCAGGCAGGATCTGGCCTGAGCCAGAGACTCCCACCTGCTGTAATAATCATCATCCTCCTCCTCCCTGCAAATCTAGCTTGCATTTTAAACCTCCCTAGAATAAGCTGAAGCTCAAGGCCTTCTTACGGCAGGGATCAGAGCAGCAAGGTTGAGCTGACGTTGGAGGGGATGCTAGAAACCCAGTAGAGATTAAAGCAGCCAGTTCCCACTTCAAACCAGTTCATCCCATTCCTGGGAGCCCTGGGGTCATGCCAGGTGAGTGCCGGAGTGTCTGGGAAGGATGCGGGCAGCCCCAAGAGGTGGCGGAGGTGAATGAACCTGAAGGGAAGGGAATAATTAACCTGTTCTCTGAGCAGCAGTGGCGGGACGCAGGGCGTCTCTTGGCACTCGCCGTTCTGCAGGCAGAGTTTACCCAAGCCTGCACCTACCATGCAGCCAATTAGGTAACCATTAACTGGCTCTCTTCTTGGAACTGAAAATTCTGAGCTTGCTGAGAGGGTATGTGCCCTGGCAGAGTCTAAAAAAAATCCCGTCGCCTGGCGGTTAGTTGGGTGATTTGGGAGTGAGTGCTGGGGGGCTTGGCAGCTGGTGGAGTGGATTTGGGGGATGGATGCGGGTGTTAGTGGGGAGAAGGGAAGGGCTGAGGCTGCACTGCGGCGTCTGCCGGGCAGCCTGGGTACCACGCAGCATGCCGGAGGATGTCCAAGCCAAACCTGACCGCTCCACCAAAACTGGCCTCGTTAGCCCTTGTTTTGTGTCAGTGATGAGTTCGTTTATAAAATGCACGGAGGGACGCAAGGGGCAACGCTGCCCCTCTGGCCCCAAGGGAGGTTCCCTGTGAGCACAAGTGATTCCACCCCGTCCCCTTCCCCAGCCTCCAGCAGGATGTGCCCAACCTGGAGATGCTTGAACACGAGCTGGCCTGGATGAAGGAAACGCTCTCCCAGCTGGGGTCCCCTATCGTGCTTTGCCACAACGACCTCCTCTGCAAGAACATCATCTACGACAGGACACGAGGTTCGTGGCAGCAGCTTCGCATGCCTGGCCGAGGGGTCTGTCCCTCGCCCCCCTCCCCAGGGGCTGGCGGCTCCAGCCCCTCTCTCAGCCCCCTGCCTTTGCCTCTGCAGAGCACGTTCGCTTTATAGACTACGAGTACACCGGCTACAACTACCAGGCTTTCGACATTGGAAACCACTTTAATGAGTTTGCGGGTGAGTCAGGCTCCTCTCCATGGCACCAAAGGTCCCCCCCAGATGCAGCGGCTGCCCTAGGGTCTCCCCATCCCTGAGGATGGAGTAGGCAAATCGCATCCCCAGTCCCATGGTGGGAAATGGGGCAGCTCCTCCTTGGGCTGCCCAGGGTTAGAGCCATGTGCGAGGGAGGGTTGCTGCGGGTGCTGGGCGCCGTGCTGCCAGGTGCTGGGCGCTGTGCTGCTGGCAGTGAGCAGCCTGGCTGCTCCTGGGGTGCAAAGCCTGCACGAGCCCAGCTCGTAACTGTGCAAGGGCTGGGTGCGTGCCTCAAATCAGCGGGTTGATCCCCGGCTTGTGCAAGCCTGGAGCTGCAGGGGTTTTGCTCACCCAGTCATGCACGGGGAGAGCCCCTTGGTCACGCTGGAGAAACCCTCCCTTGCACCCTTCTGCCCCTGGGGCTGACCCCGGCTCCCCTCGCAGGCGTGAAGGAGGTGGATTACCGCCTCTACCCCAGCAAGGAGACCCAGCTGCAGTGGCTGCGCTCCTACCTGCAGGCCTACAAGCAGCTCACCCAGGGGGGCCAAGGAGGCACGGGGGTGTCCGAGGAGGAGCTGGAGGCTCTCTACGTGCAAGTGAACAAGTTTTCTTTGGTGAGTGAAGACGGGAAGGAGCAGCTGCTCTCGAGGGCTACCCGTGGGGATGGGTTTTCCTCTGCTCCTGGGTGAACTGGGGCTTTGTGCTGGTGAGAACGGGGGTGCGGGTATCAGCCTGGGGGTGTGGGGGCACCTGGGGCAGGAGGCTGCCCCAAAGAGCCTGGCTGCATCTCAGAGGCGCTGAACCCCTGGGGCAAGGTCAAAGATAGCGCTGGCCGACTGCCATCCCACTGACAAGTGCCAGGGGACAGCGTGCCTCTGATAACTGTGGCCTCGGGTGTCCCTTCAGAGAGGTCAGGCGGACCCTGGGTGCAGTTGAGCACAAGGAAATCCTCTTTGGTAAATGCCCTGGGCAGGCAGAGCCAATTTTCTGGAAACTTAGGGCAAAATCTCAGCCCATCCTGGCTGCAAACGCAGAGGCTGGTACCCTGGGGATGCTGTATGGCCGTTCAGCATCCTTCCTGCTGGCATCCCTTGCCTGGGCTGGGACCAGCCTCTGGAGCATATAAAATCACACGTGTGGGCTAGCCCCC